GGAAACCCCAGCCGTTCCACCCACATTCCGCTCTTGTGGCAGGATGTTTGTCAGTCTTGTGTATCTTTGGCCTCGGAAGTTTTCTCTATCCTCTGGTCTCTCAAAGTGACCTTAAAATTTTTTCACCTACTAAAACTGTTTATAATTGCTCATAGTATTTGGACTTTATTAGCAATGCACATTAATGCAGAGGTCCAATAACATAATTGCAGAATTCCTCCCCTCCCCCCAGACATGACAAACTGTTCAGCAAAGAATGCATCTATTCAAATGGCATTGTTATTTAATCTGTTACATGAGAAGTTTACTGTGATTTAAAGGAACTCAAAGAGAATGAGTAAGTGTGGTGAATTTAGTCTATTTAATCAATAGAAATAAAATGATTTTATCCCTTCACATACCAGTATACCTTTCATAAAATTCTTCTTACTCAACCCACTTTCACATATCGTAATGCTTCAAAATGAATTAGTTCTTCAGAAGGACAGTACCTAATCACCCTTGAGAACACAATATGAATTGTGCTAATAAGCAAGGTCTGCTTCCAATTACATTCGAAATTCTGCACAGAGACTGCTTGTCTGGAAGTATCTAGAAGTTCAAGGTTATTGCTGCATCACACATTTATTTGGATGTCTGCCCTGGGATTTTCCGTGCAGTCTTTTCGCATCTTAACAATCCTTTGACCCATTCAAATCAAATATATCTGAGTATTTGAAAATATTAGGAATTTCAGGAATACTTACATAGTGTGGCTACGAATGAAAAGCACTTGAAGAGACTTGGGTTTTCTTTTGCAGTCTTAGTAGCTGTGGAAGGCCGGCACAGGTTTCTTTGTAAGGAACCACATGAAATGTTACACGTTCTTGGCATGCATGGGAAAAGATTCAGCAGAGCTTCCAGGCTAAGGACCGACAATGAAGCAGGAATAGGTTGTCTATGTCAGAGGAATTAGCCACTGAAAATCTTGGGGGTAGCATGGAAACATTGTCAGTTACTGAAAGCCTCCTGAACAGAAGCAGAACCGTCATCAGAGAGAGCGTTGGAAGGGGAGTCCTCGTCAGAAGGCATTCAAAAGAGGATGGAGGAAGAGCTTCCTCATCAAAGGTAGAGTTGGCCATGATGAAGGTAGAGTAAAGCCCTCACGACCACCCCTTACTGAAGGGCACCGCTCAGAATAGGCAGAAACCGCTGCAGAGAGCACTCAGACGTAGAGCAACAGCGAGGATGGCTCAGGACTGAGCAGTGTTTCCTTCTGTCACGCAGACGGTTGCTCTGGGTTGGAACTGACTTGGCAGCATCTAACATCTACACAGAAGTCGATTGGGCTAGAACTACGGCTTTGCTTTGTGGTTCTTCTTTGTAAAGAACCGTCAATAAAATATCAACAAAGCAGTTGTATCAGACACCAGTTTTGCCAGTTCAAAGAGAATGTACTTTCTCCTAATGGTAATTGTGGAAACGTAGATGTTCTCTGATACCCCCTTGCTTGCAATGTGATGATTCTGCAGCGTTTACAGACGTATGTCAGGAATTTTCTGTACCTTCTGTGCCACTTTTTGGCTAGAATTTATGCCATATGGTTCACATTTGTGATCATGTCAGGCCCCATGCTTTTCTGGATAGGATTGTTGTTGGGTTTTTTTTGATTGTTGTTGTTTTTAAGAATCACTGATTGGCATTAAAATCTGTTTAGATTATAGAATTTTTATCCTTCAAATTTGCAATAATTTTTTTGCAAAAAAAACCACATACCACTTTATCAGAAGTTAGGAGCTAGGAAGAAGAATCACGGAATTTGTAAAAAGGAAAAAAAATAAAGCCCAAATTCACTGCTGTCAACTTGATTCTGACTCATTACCCTGTAGACAGAGTTGAGCAGCCCACAGTTTCCACGCTTGTGCATCTTTGTAAGAGAAACCTGCCCCAACTTTGGCCTGTGGAACAGCGTGTGTGAGGCCCGGACACGTTGATGAACAGCACACCCTCAGACCACTGTGCTTCCTAGCTTAGGGCTTCTGCACTAAAAAAGCTTAAGTTCTTGAAGCGCCCCTGTTAAATGGCACCTCTTTTTATTGACCTGTTTCCTTTCACACCAATTGGAAAAGTCAGACTTTGATTAGTATTATCTACCTTAAATATGTTGTGGTGAAATAACATCAGAACAGGGGTCTAATTTAAGGATTTCCTTTCCATGTGAAAGTTTAACAAAACATATTTGAGTTTAAGTCTGTGTGTTTTAGTACATTAAAAGTATCTTTTAACTTCTCTGATATATTGGTTTATGGGAAAATTGGTAATATAGTTGTTTTATAGTCCACGTAGAAGAAAGATATCTCTAAGTTTTGAATTATGATAAAAGCCTTAAGAAAATTCTGTCTAATTGTAGTAATGATTTCTTATAGAAGAAATAATACTAAACTTGTCCCAAGGAGTTGGAGATTAGAGATGTCCCAAATACCCAACTCTTCCAAGATATGCTATTCTCCATCCCCACCCCGCACCCCTCACCCCCACCCCCCGACTCCTTCCTCCTGTGCACTCCCTCACCTTCCTGGCTTCTCCAGTTCACTGCGTTGTCTCACAGAAATTCATGAACCGTGTAGGCAGTGTGTCCCTGGGTGGTGGGGACTGCTTAGTCCCAAATTTGAAGGTCAGGCAGAGATGAGCCCAGCGCAAGGCCCATAGCCAGAAACCCAAAATGTCCAAAAACCACAGTATGTCTTCTTGGTTCTACCAGAGCTCAGTCAAGAAATGGAAGTCTGGCTCTCCAGGTGATGTGACAGGTACTAGAACTGCCCCTCATCCCAGGAGAACAAAGGACAGTGTCTGAAATCACACCCTCTGCGAGGGTCAGGCCTTACTCCCAGCCAAGTCCTGTGCATTCGTGCAGTGGAGAATGCCCTCCAAACTGGGACTGTACGCACAAGCATGTGGAGTCCGGAACTATGATGCACCACATAGGCATGACGGCTAGGGGGCCAGCGTAATTGAGTGTCCCACAATAACACATCGTCCACACTGTGTTGTGGTTATTTGAGGAGAGCTTCCTGGTTTTCTTATAAAATACATACAGGTTTCTTAGTGGGTAGACGCAGTGGTCTTAAAAAAACAGCTTTCTTTTTTTCTTTCCCTGAATACAGAATCAATTGGCTTTCCATTTAACAACACATCTTGTTTCACGTCCCTGATTGCAATTCTCACAGGTTAAAACCACGCTTCCCACTTCCTGTGTGTGTATGCCATTTCCGTTCCTCCTTTCCTTTGACTTCCTGTCTTCTGAGCTTTGTCTCTGGGCCGATACTGCCATGTTTATCTATATGATTGATTATACTAAGGCGTTCTTAATTACCTGGGGTTCCTGTTCGCCTTATAAACCTGTCAGTGGTTTGGCTGCAAGTCACACAGTGACCATGATGAGTTTGGTTCCAAGCCTAAACCATGTCCAAGGACGGTATGCTTCAGGCTTGCGAAGGCATTACTGTTCCTGGTCTTTTCTATTACTTTGAAAAGTATCTATTATATGCTTTTGTTCCACATCCCCCCTCCCCCCACTATGAGTCAGAATTGACTCAATGGCAGTGAGTTCGAGTTTTTGTTTTATTTTGAGTTTCTTTTTAGGATCTCTTATTATGTGATCCATTTCAGAGGCGGCGGCAGTGGTAGCCAGGCATCTTGTTCTGGTGTTAGGATCGTGGAGGACAAGGTCCGTGTGGTCCACTGGTTCCTGCAGTAAACAGTATTTGGGTGCATAGTTGACCTCCTCTGACTTCCCCATTGCTGCGAGACAGGGGTCAGACAAGCCTCCACCATCCATCTTTCTGACACCAACTTCTGTATCTGTGCTGGGGTAGAGCGTTTGTTTTGGTGGGCACACAGTCTTCATGGTTCAGGGGGCTTATTAGGGAATATGCTACCACAAGTCAGGACCAGCAAACAGTATGGTTACAGTCATTGGTTGCTTTGCCGTGGCCAAATCTCTCCCCGGTTCTCAGTCTCTCAGCTGCGTGAGCTGTGAGCCTTTGTCGGCGTGGGCTAGGAAGCCCACTTGTAGCTCCCTCTCAGTTCCAGTTCTTGGGCCAGATGAGAAGGTACTCCATGATCTCAATTGCAACTCACCCCAGTTGCTACTCGATAAAGTCCCATGAGGCAAAGTGCCTTTGTGAACTTTAATGTCCATGGATCTTGATGTGCCCTGAAACTATGATTCTGAGCCCCCAGACCCTGTGCCTAATTATTGCTCTCAAAAAGCTTCCCTATTGAGAATGATGTACAAAGGCACTTTACACAAGTGATGTGTGTATGGATTGCAATAACAGTTGTATGAGCCCCTAATAAAATGTTTAAAAAACAAAACAAAAAAAAAAAGCTTCCATAACTGTACCCCCTATATGCTCTACTATATTCCTGGATATATTTATAGCAAATTTGATTATGTTGAAAAATAGTCTACCAAATCCACACCTGATGGGACTTCACAAAGTTCATGGAAATAATGTAACTCTATTCTTCCACAGACCCTTTTAAAGCCCTCTTGTATATGCATGGATGTAGTTCCAGTCACCTTGTTACCCATCCATCTTCAGCTTGAGTGCCTCTCTCTATCTCCTGATAAAGGTGATTGCTAAAGCAGGATTGGATATGTGATCGTGGTTACCTTTCTTGCCTCTTCACTCCTAGGCTACTTCTGGTGTCTTCAGTGGCCTGAACAATTCTATGCTGCCCTCTTCCTTATTATCTTTAAACCAAAGTTGGGCAAGAGTTTTATCCCAGGCCCTTTGTGTAGGAGAACCTTTTCAATGTATTCTTTGTACAGCACTGCCCCTGAGGGACAATGTGAGTCCCTTCTGTCTGTTCATCACTGTAAACTGAGGGAGCTTATTTTAACAGGCGTTCAATGGCAGGTGCCTTTGCAGGACGAGATGTCTTCCCTAAGAACGAAAAGGCATATGTTTCCTACATCAGATAAATGGCAGGCTCCTTCTCGTTTGCTGTTTTAGTGCGCCGACAGGCAGAACTCGCCCGTCACATCGCCAGCATCTTCGCCCCTCAGCCAGCGAAGAAAGCCGCATTCAGATCCGCTTCAGATCCCACATCTCATCCTGCCCCCAGTGCCTCCCCGCCTGGACCTCATTCAGAAAGGCCTGGTGCGGTCTCCCTGTGGCAGCCCGACTGGTTCCCCAAAGGTAAATCAATTTCACGTGTCAATTATTTTACGTGTCAATTATTGGTAATTTTTTGTGTGTTCTTTTAAATTCCGTGACTCACTTCTCTTCTTGTGCTCTCCATTGTTTATGAACAGCTGTGGTGGGCATTGTTTACTATATTGAGGAACCGCTGCCACAGTTCTTACGTTATTGCTATTAAAGCTACACCACTGCTTACAGAGAGCACAGGTCTGTAATAGACCAATGATTTGCTAAAGTAAATAACAGAGTAAGTGTACTTATTCTGTATAATGGATTTAAAAGGTCATTAGGTGCATTCTAATAAACTGCAAGATGTTATCAACTGTATTTTACACTCCTTTTCATAGTGTCCTGACAAGAAAAATGTGTTGAGAGTATATTTGCATAAGGACTTAAGTTGTGATAAATTACTGTCCCATGTTTCAAGGTGACTTAGAAGGGAGAATTATGTATACTTTTTATATAAGAGGAATTAATTACAGAGAAGTATAATATTTGTAAAGTAATTACATTCCTGTTTAACATTAAGCACATAATTCTAAACCCTATAAATGTGCAGTTTATTATTTAAGTTCTGAGTGGGATTTTTCTCATATTTAATAATAAGCTTATATTTACTTTATTAAATGTAAGATTTTTTAAGTTATTCATCCAATAAATAAGATGTTTTAGAATCTAATATTAGTAGAGAGCACAGTATACTTACAAGTATTTGATTTTTATACATGATACTTGTTTTTAAGAGATTATGTATATATATATACACACACTCACACACACACACGGTCATCAGATTTCTGTGTGTGTGTTATTGTTTGACGTGAACTTGGTCGTCACAAGACTCCAAGTCCATTTCAATTTTACTTTCTGCCTTTTTTCTTGAAGCCGCTGCGACCACTGTGTAGGTTTGAAGGCTGAGGGATCTGGAGGGACCGATTTCTTTTTTCTCATTTTCTAACATTAAAAATACAATCACTTATCTCAGACTTAATATAAGTAAGAACCAAATGCCATATAAGGTATACAGATCAAATTCAAGTTCCTATACATTCATATTTTCACATAGGAATCAGACTGTTTCAAATTACAGTGAACCCTCGCCACTTCGCACTTCGACTTCCGTGGCTTCACTCTATCGCGGTTTTTGCGTAACAGCACCCACTGCCTACACCCGCTCCTTCAGAGAAAAAGACGGCGACCCGCCTGTAGAGTACATCCCTTAAGTCATTTCATAGGCTATTGATTACAGTATTTGTAAGAACTATGTATAATAATACTGTATGTGAAATATGCAATACTGTAAACTAGATGCCATAAATAATATAATAAATAATAAATGATAATTGTAACGTCCAAAATGTTTTACTGTATTTTCCCTTTTTCGTTTAATAAATTGGGTAATACGAGTGTAATGGTGACTAAAGGGTGTTTTTTCATGTCCTCTATGCTCTAACTACAAAAATATTTTATTTACAAATAAGGAATCCTACTTCGTGGAATTTCATTTGTCACGGTAGGGTCTAGAACCGATTAACCGCGATAAATGAGGGTTCACTGTATTTCATTTTAAGGACCCATACAATTCAAGCATGCTCTATAAATAGTTATATATTAGTATTTGTGATTTTACTATATTAGTATTTGTGATTTTTTAAAACTATTCTTTTAGTAGTAAACCCAAACACAAGCTCATATTTTCTTCTCATCCGTTGCTCTACTATAGTAGTGAAAAACAGAAACAAAACGAAAAATGCAATTTTCATTCTTTCAAAAATACTAAAAATCAATTTACTATCTTAAAAATAAGAGCAAGTTTCTGAATGATGCTTCTATTCCTAAATCAGTAGAATACGCAAACAAGAGAACTCTTTGCAGATGTTACTTCAGATATTTTTAGTTGGGGTTTTTTTTTTTTCCATTTAAAATTTTTTTCTCACCTTCCCTGCCACACAAGTTAGTATGTGTCTCCCTGATAGTCAGTGATCCACCCTTTTTCTCCTCTCACCCCACGTAAATGTAAACCATTTTGATATTCTGGTATTTATTTCTAAGTCTTTATTTTGTAGTCATGACATTTGATTTTCAGTACTCACTTTACAAAAAATCATAATGAAGTATGTTTGCATTTCTCATTCATCTTTTAAAATGTCCTTAAAGAGTGATTTAAAATAGCTATGAAAGTATGGCATGGAAATGTAGTAACTCCATTATAGCATAGAAATAAAAACCGTCAACTATTCATCCAAACGCTATGGCAGTTCATGATACAAGTATAATCTTTTACTTTTCTGTCTCTGTAGTCGTCGCCTTGTATGGTGAGGAAACAAGACAAGCCACTCCCAGCACCACCACCCCCTTTAAGAGACCCTCCCCCGCCTCCTCCCGAAAGACCTCCGCCCATCCCTCCTGAAAACAGACTGAGTCGACACTTCCATCCTGCGGAAAGCGTGCCTTCCAGAGACCAGCCCATGCCCCTTGAAGCCTGGTGTCCTCGAGACGTGTTTGGGGCTGATCAGTGGGTGGGTTGTCGACTGCTGGAGGATGGCGCTCCCAAGCCTGGAATGACAGCGAGCTCAACTGTAAATGACAGACATGGCAGAGTGGGCCCTGATCAAGTGCTTATGCGGAAACACCGACGCCATGATTTGTCTTTAGAAGAAGCCAAGGTAAGAAGTAGGCAAAGCAGAAACCAAAGCTTCTGTTTATAAACTCTTTATGATTCAAGGTGGTATCAAAGGCTGGGCCACGCGTCTTTGCCTGTGTGACACTTCTCTGCAGGTCTTTAATTATCTCCCAAGTTATTAATAATCAGAAGCTCGTTAAATCTTGAACTGAAAGAAGTCAGGAAGAAGATTCTAAGTAAGGATCTAACTTTAATATGCTGCAGGAGGGTTTTCCAGATTTATCTTACCTTTCTTTCATCTGTCAAAAAACTCTCCCCATTAGTAACTTGTTGTTTGGACACTCAGCACTATATTTGTTTTTAACTATGGTACTTTATGCAATTTGAAACAAATGTTTCAAAATCTTAGCATCTAATACATCAATTGTTGAAAATAGTTGTTCCTTAGGACATCACACCTGGAGCAGCTAGAGTAAGTGAGCTCACCTGTTTATAAAGGCCATACTCAATGCACTCTTACAAAATCAAGTTATGGTCCCATAAATCTAAGAGAAACTTTCACACATTTGAGATGGAGGATATCAACTGGGTTTTGTAATTCATTGTAGATATAAACTATTGTTTATATATCTGAGAAAGAATTTGCAAATTATGGAAATTTAAAAGCTACAAACAGAAATAACTCAATTTGGAACTATTCCTAGGCCCTACATAGAGTTGTAACTTAATTTTTCTATATGTACCCTCTACATTTTGGCTATAAGATGAAGTCATTGTCATAGTTCATCTGCCAATGGAGAGCTTACCTCTTTTGAAGACTGTGATTTTAGAAGTCTGTTGATCTCTATAGATCTTAAATTATATTTTAGGGGAGTAATATAGTTCTTCAAAATTGTGACTTACAGTTGATAAGCTCACCCTATATTAAAAACAAAAAAGCAGTGTGATGCATCGCTGTACTCAACTCCTGTGTGTGTGTGGGTCTCTGGTGTGTGAAAGTGGCATCACATTGGAACCATTGGGCGGCAATAAGTAACCCTCCATGATAGTCTAGAATAGGTAGAAAGGCTAGGGGTTTGGGTTGGAGGAATGCAAAGGGGTGATGCATGTTGGGTTCTGGCCTTCTCTCATTTCACAAGGAGGAGGAGGATGATAACCCTTCACATCAGCCCAAAGCTCATTGCTATATATCCAGGACCAGGTATGCCAATTCTGATACCAACCAGAGCACCGTCCACTTCTCAGATTTGTTTGGTAATGCATTGCAGTGGTCACACATAAATCACAGACTGCAGTCACAATAGTGTGCTTTATTATGGAAGTTAACAGGTTACATTCAGGTGCAGAAATGCTTAAGACACAATTCTTCAGTCAGTCCAGCCTCTTCCCAGCTATGCCTACTCATGCCAAAAGAGCCAGCACTGACAGGTCCAGGGGAATAATGAGAGTTCTAGCATGGACCGTGGGGAGGGTGTAGCTTTTCTGGGCATGTTTGATCAATCGAATTATACCCAAGAGGAATTATTGAGAGGAATTACTGACAGGCAAGCATAATAGTGGGGTAGGAGGTAATTAAAAAACAACCCAGAATATATATGCATATATAAAAATTTATTTATGAATATGTATATTTGTTTATGTGAGTATATATATGTAAATGCCACAAGGAAGCAGATGGACATTGGGCCTCTACTTAAATCTTACCTCTGTACAAGAATGGTTTGTTTTAACAATGTGTATGATACGCACCTCCCTGACACGATCACTGAAGACCACATGGGAGTGTAAACAAATGTAGAAAGCTGTGGCATCTGGGGTCTTGAAGGCTTAGAGGGAAACAAGCGGCCATCTAGCAGGGGAGCAACAAAGCCCACATGGAAGAAGCACACCATGCTATGTGATCACGAGGTGTCTACGGGAAGAGGTATCAGAAGTTCAAAAAACATGCTTCACACTGCTATGAAGGGGACTGGATATAGTGGAGACACCAAGCCCACCAGCAAGACAATTGGGCAATGCCTCTTAGAAGGCCCTCATGGAACAGAGGATAAACCTAGGGTGCGGTGCCGTACTAATGGACCACGTAACTATCCTCTAGTTCTTTAAGATTTCCTCCCCTTAATCTTATGGGTCATCTGTACGTGATAGATCACATTGGTTATGTTAGACTTGCATATGTTCATTTGTACATTGAAGATCGCTTGGTATAAGGTGGTCAAGATAGATGACCCCTCAGAAACAGTGACAGGAGTAAGGGTTTCCTGAGGGGACGGGAAGGAGTGTCCGGAGAGGGAGAGAGAGGAGGTGATAGCACGGATGATTGTATAGCCCTACCTGATGAGATTGAGCAACAGAACTGTATGGAGGGGAAAGGATATATTAGAATGAGTAAGACATATCAATAAAAATATTATTCAACAAATGTTTAAGTGACTGTACACTATTTACAAACACAATGAGGATTGGATATGGGGCAGCACTTTCAGTAATACTCATTCACAAAGGCAGAACCATGCCTGCCTAGACTAACACATGCCATCAATTAGCAAAGAAAGCTTAAAAATCATAATTATGTGGTTGTCTCAGGCCAGCATTCATTTGACATCCTCTAAAGCAAGAGATCCGAACCAAAGTCCGATGGTGACCAATTCCATAACCATCTGCTTCTCACACTAGGCTGTGTTTCAGCTTTAAGTCCAGGGGAGTATGCCAGTTCCTTTAACTTACTACTTACAGGTGAGTTTAAAGTGAAAAACAACAAAACAAAGCAAAAAAAACAGTTTGCTTAGTAAGGTTCCCATATTGAAGCCTTCTGATGTGAGTTATGAGGGGTGTTGTGTGCCTTGAAAGGACAGAGTCTAAAGTCCCGGTCTGTAGCACACAGACTAGGTCACAAGGGCTGTCCGACTGGGAACATAGTACCAGAGGGTCTTTCTTCTCCCCTGGGTTCTAGGTAAATATCGTTAAGTGCTTTTTTTTCCCAGATGGAAGGTGGTTTGGCTTGGTTTAGTCACCAATAGAAGTGTAATAACCTTCCCTGAGACATGCGTGTTGTGCTCCCCCGTCAAAATCTGGACTTGAATTTCTATTAAGGTGTACTTATCACTCTTATTTATTTATATTAATCATTTTAATGGGAGCTCTTACACATGTCATAACATTCCATAATTCAAATGGATCAGGCATAATTACACAATTGTTATTACAATCAATTTGAAAACATTTTCTTCTTCATGAACTCTTTGATATCAGCTCCCCTTATCCCCTTCCCCCAGGAACCCTTATTGTTACATATTATCATTATTCTGTTATCATTATATAGATAGATAGATATGGAGATATATATATATAGCCATATCTTACCCCATGCAGTATATGTACGTTCACCTACAATTCTGTTGTCCACTCCCCTCTAGTAGGATTATACAGTTATCTTTGCTAACAGCTCCCCCCATGCCGCCTCCTCCCACCCCCGGCTTCACATGTCTTCCCTTTGCTGTTTCTGAAGGGTCATCCATTCTGGCATTCCTGCATCAACCAATCTTAATTATACAAATGAGCATGTGTAGGTCTGGCAATATTAGTGATGTAAAACATAAGCCTTAATAGTAAGGGGAGGAAATAATAAAGAACCAGATGATAGTCATGTGCTTCATCAGTGTTCTACCACACCCTGGATTTATCATACCTTCCGTGTGGCTCTTCTGAGGGACTGTCCCATTATCTAATGAGGGTTTGAGTCTCCACTATATCTACGCCGCCTCACATCGATTTAGCTGCTTGTGAACTTCTGATACCTCTGCCTGCCGACACCTTCCAAGTGGGATTTGCTAGATGGCCGCTTGTTTAACTCTAATCCTTTAAAACCCCAGACACTAGAGCTTTCTTCACCACATTTGCTTATGTACCCATTTTGTCTTCCATGATCATGTCAGAAATGTGCATATCCTACAGTGCCACATTATTGGAACAAATCGTTCTTGTTCTGAGGTAAAATTTAGAGGCCCAAAGTCCATCTGCTTTATTATTGTGTTTATATATGTGTGTGTGTTTAGACATACACCTATATTTATACCTATATATATGATTTTTACTTTCTTCTGTTTTCTTTCCTCTTGCCCCACTATCTTGCTTAGCCATCGTTCACCTCTCAGTAATTCCTCTCAGACACCTTTTGCTTAATCAAACAGGACCAGTCATTGTTGGCTCACCACTCACCTCCCCCACCTTATCCCCTCCCACGCCCTCCCCCTCACTCCCTGCCAACCATTGGTTTCATCACTGTCTCCATGGGATTGCTTATCCTGCCTCTCTTCTATAGATAGACCCCAAAAAGAGAGAGCGCGAGAGAAGAAAGACCATATAAATCATTCCAAGTCTAACTGTCATCCTGATCCAGAGTAGATCACTCCTGATGGGAGCGTCTGTTGAGTTGGGTTGACCTTAGAACAGTGGTTCTCAAACTTCCTAAATCCGTGACCCTTTAATACAGTGACCGCCCCCAATCATAACATTATCTTCGTTGCTACTTCATGACTGTCATTTTGCTACTGTTATGAATCTGGCGACCCCCGTGAAAGGGCCATTCAACCCCCAAAGAGGTTGCGGCCCATGGGTTGAGAACCACTGCCTTAGAACAACATTGTGTGTCAGCCACTGATTGACCTCATCTCTCTCTGCATCTTGTGAAACTGACCCTGGCTGAGGTGAGACCTGCTCTGTTGAAGCCGTTTATAAGATAGAGGGAGTGACATAGAGCCAAGGGTACAGGCGGTCCAGTGCCGTGTTGCGTGGAAGACCAGATTAGAAGAGGATATAACCTGAGAGCAGACACCTGCCTTCGTCTCGGTGTTTCTCCTTAGAGTAGTAGAACTTGTGCAGCATTTGTCCTTTTGACCAGATTCCCTCAGCAGACTGGTTTCCGGTCCATCTGTGTCACGGGGTGTTTCCTGCCTCTTCAGGCAGACATAATAATCCATTGCAGAGTGTCTTTATCCATTTTTCTACTCGTGGGCATCAGCTGTTTTCAGCTTCTGGCTACCG